TTCCTTCCTTCCTTCCTTCCTTCCTTCCTTCCTTCCTTCCTTCCTTCCTTCCTTCCTTCCTTCCTTCCTTCCTTCCTTCCTTCCTTCCTTCCTTCCTTCCTTCCTTCCTTCCTTCCTTCCTTCCTTCCTTCCTTCCTTCCTTCCTTCCTTCCTTCCTTCCTTCCTTCCTTCCTTCCTTCCTTCCTTCCTTCCTTCCTTCCTTCCTTCCTTCCTTCCTTCCTTCCTTCCTTCCTTCCTTCCTTCCTTCCTTCCTTCCTTCCTTCCTTCCTTCCTTCCTTCCTTCCTTCCTTCCTTCCTTCCTTCCTTCCCTTCCTTCCTTCCTTCCTTCCTTCCTTCCTTCCTTCCTTCCCTTCCTTCCTTCCTTCCTTCCTTCCTTCCTTCCTTCCTTCCTTCCTTCCTTCCTTCCTTCCTTCCTTCCTTCCTTCCTTCCTTCCTTCCTTCCTTCCTTCCTTCCTTCCTTCCTTCCTTCCTTCCTTCCTTCCTTCCTTCCTTCCTTCCTTCCTTCCTTCCTTCCTTCCTTCCTTCCTTCCTTCCTTCCTTCCTTCCTTCCTTCCTTCCTTCCTTCCTTCCTTCCTTCCTTCCTTCCTTCCTTCCTTCCTTCCTTCCTTCCTTCCTTCTTCCTTCCTTCCTTCCTTCCTTCCTTCCTTCCTTCCTTCCTTCCTTCCTTCCTTCCTCGCCCACACTCGCCCACACTCGCCCACACTCGCCCACACTCGCCCACACTCGCCCACACTCGCCCACACTCGCCCACACTCGCCCACACTCGCCCACACTCGCCCACACTCGCCCACACTCGCCCACACTCGCCCACACTCTCTCACACTCGCCCACACTCGCCCACACTCGCCCACACTCGCCCACACTCGCATGCCTCCCCACACTCGCCCACACTCTCTCACACTCGCCCACACTCTCTCACACTCGCCCACACTCTCTCACACTCGCCCACACTCTCTCACACTCGCACACACTCGCCCACACTCTCTCACACTCGCACACACTCTCTCACACTCTCTCACACTCGCCCACACTCACCCACACTCTCTCACACTCACTTACACTCAGTCTCTCACCCAACATTTTCTCACCACTCCTTCACTCTCTCACCGCTCACTCACCACTCACCCCTCACTCACCGCTCACCCACCCCTCACCCGCCGCTCACTCGCCCCTCACTCACCACTCACTCGCCCCTCACTCACCACTCACCCACCCCCTCACTCGCCACTCACTCACCCTTCACCAGTCACCCCTCATCCAACACTCACTCACCCACGACTCATTCACTCATTCACTCCCTCACCACTCACTCACCCACCACTCACTCACTCACTCACCACTCACCCATGACTCACTCACTCATTCACTCCCTCCCCACTCACTCATTCACTCACCACTCACCCACCACTCACTCATTCACTCACTCACTCACTCATTTACTCACTCCCCACTCACCCACCACTCACTCATTCACTCACTCCCCACTCACTCCCCACTCACTCCCCACTCACCCACCACTCATTCACTCACTCACCAACCACTCCCCAACCGCTCACTCACTCACCCCCTCACCACTCACCACTCTTTCACTCGCTCACCACTCACTCACCCACTGACTACTCTCTTCCTGACACACTCACTCACTCACCCATCCCTCTTCCTCAGTATCAGAGCTGACCACTCCGGTAAGGTGTCAAGTAAGTGAACTGCTGACCTTTATCCAAAACACTGTCGCATTTCTACTAGAAGAAATTGTGCATGACACGGGCAGGGCCTCTCCAATCTGTTTTGTGACCTCTCCGCTAGGAGTAAGCTGCAAATCCAAATCTGGGAGAGAAAGAACATCTGTCACAACTTAATCTCGGCAAGCCTGGCCCATTTCAAAAGCTTACTCAGGGAAGAAAAATGTGACTAATTGCACTCATTAAATTTAAGATTTCATTTCTGCAATACGGTCTCAGTCAATTTTACAAGTAAGGAGAAGAGAGAATTACTCTAAAATAGGCACTGCAGAACATCCACATTTTTTGCTGTCATTATAGGCTAAAAGGAAAAGCAAAAACTCACATCACCACACCAATGGATCCTTTTTTTCCACCTTCTATTGCTAAAAGGCTGACAGAGGCGGTGCAAGGACTGCTTCACACAGCAGCATGTGCATCTTGAAAGAGCAAGCAGACTGCTGTGAAGGTAGTTTGCTATGGGCCACGTAGAAATGCATCTTCAGCGGAGGACTCGTGCAGGTGGGGACAGATTAATCTCAATAAGAAGTGCCATGAAGAGGAGAGGAGGACAAGGAAGGGGTAACTTTCTCAAAAGCAATTAAGAAAAGTTCACTTTTGTCCTCAGCATCTGAAGACGATGAAGACAGACTAATACAGGATGTGTGGGACACCACACTGACTGCAGGGGTGAGGAGTTTGAATTATAGGCTTGGCAGGACAGCACACATGAGGCCCTTGGATTTGTTTTCATTTGTTACTTAAAAAAGCCGCTTTTGTTTAAGTGTGAGTCCCGGCTTTGCCTGACCTGTTTTGACACCAGGGAAATTACAGTCAGTGTTAGCTGTGGCTGACACAAGACAGCGTGAAAGCAGTCAGACAAAGATCAGGAAACACTTCTCGATCATTTTCTTAGTATATGCATTTGATGCTTTAGTGATTTCTTTAAGGAAAAAGATCCTACACTGAGAAAGCAGACTTCGGCAAGATAAACCTCTGTTTTGTTTCCCCTCTCATGGTTCCTTGCTTCTAAGCCAAGTTGCCCGGTCAAATGACTATCACAGATGCACACACACAGACGTGGTTTCATCACACATATAGTACTTCCTGGAAAAGAGCTACAAATATCCTTTTGGCTTTTAAGCAGAGCTTTAAAAAGGTAAAAATCACAGTTGGTAGAGGAAAGGGAAAACAGTGAGCTTTCCATAATAAAGCAGTGAACTTGGCTCCTGGTTTCATTCAGTGGTTGCCCTGGGAACACCATGCTAATTAAAGGCAGAAAAACTTGAGGGAACAACAAAGAGTCCATCCTGTACTATTAATCTATATTAATATCTGTTTAACAAGTCTAATATCTAGCCTGAAAGGTCCCAAATTTGTACTTTCATCTCTGCAAAGATCTTGCCAACGACAGAAAAGGGCGTTTTGGTTTCTGTAGGAATACACAGGAACACATGGCCTCCCCACACTAGTGAATGCAACCAGACTTACAAGATTCTCCAGATCTTACGATTGCTTCCACAAGCAAAACCCCTAAACAAATCCCAGAACTAAAGACAGGACGCAGCCAGGGAGCATTGATATATCGATTCGAACAGTGTACAGGATGGTTTTCCTAGCTCTATTACCCTGGAGCACACACTACACCGAGGCAGAGGGGTGGCTGAAGAAAAAGCTAAGAGGTTTTTATTTTCCCTGCCCTGAGGATGAGTTTTCCTCAACATCTACTTAAACTTTTTGTTCTCTGGAGAAAGAAAGCACCTCAAACCTAAGAGATCACCAAACACCTTACAGGAGGGATTCTACGACAGCATGCCTGTGATGCCCCTACCCTGTTTTTTTCGGGGTTAAAAGAGACTACAATCCCTCTCACACAGTGGTCTGGGTTGCTTTAGAAATTCAGGAGAATTTACAGTGTGCGAAGTGAACCCCATACCTCAGAGCAGTATCTCTAAGGCGATTTTATGAAGCAAATACAGATTTAAGCTACTGTTTAACACAGGATCCCTGCTAGGAACTCTACAGAGGACAATTTGATTTGGATTAATAATTTGAAAGGTTATCTGTAGGGTCCACAAAGAAGTGCAGTGTTGATACTTCTACCTATCAACTCAAATGCTCAATTAGTAAATAATCTCTTCTTGGTACACAAGTACGAGTAGAAAGCATTTCTTGCATACAGAAGACTGTCAAAATGCATCTCCCTTCTACTAAAAGAAAAACTTTGTTGCAAAGATTTTTTCATACATTTCCTGTTTGACTTTGAACCTTTCTCATAAACAAACTTTTCATCAGACACCGTTTTCAATAAATGATAGCTCTTAATGTGGTCTCACTTGAAGTCTTGCATTGATTTCAGTGCTGTCTGTGCATACCAAGTAGGACAGGGAAGAGACAGAGAATGCATTTTGCATGTATTAGCACATCATGGGAGAGAGGTATGGAATTAATGTGGGGAAGACTGTAGCAAACATTTCAGTTCTGAAACTGTATTGCACTTGTAGGACAGGCTTTAAAGGAGATCGCCAAAGGAATACTGTGCTATGACTGGGAAAACTATGCACAGCACTCGAGGGTAGTCTGAACATCCTAAATATACTATCAGACGGTCAGAAACTTCTCCTAGTATACCAAGAATAGATTTTTCTGTGCAACATTTAAAAGGTGATTTTCCCTGTCTTTTCAATGAGTCTGTAGCACTATTAAAAGTACCTACGGAGAAACAAAAATGCTAAACCCTTTGATTTACTGGAAGCTTTGCAAACCTATTTCCCCAGAAAATGCATTTTAGCAGAAAGGAAAGCATCACACAGAGCAAGTTCCACAGCCCTGCTCCATACTGGGTTTTACATGCAGAAACAACTAAAGGAAGAGATAAAAAGGAACTGTGAGTCGAAACAGTCATCTGGGGGAAGGAATGTCCACCACCTACTGCTAGATGCTTTCCTTGCCTTCCACAGTGTTCTACTATAGCAGTTCTTAAGCGGTTTTAACAAGGCTTCACCCCGGCACCTGCCTGGCCCCTGCAGGTTTTGATCATCTGACCCTAGGCAAACTCACTCAAGGAACAGAGCTAGCAGAAACTTAACAACCCAGTGTAAAGAAACCAAACCCACATCTATCCTGTCCTGTTGCACCCTCGGTTGAGGGACAAACAGCACCACACACAAGCACTCGGTTCTGCCAGACTTTAAACTGAGACCCTGCTGCACAGACCCTGGGGGCAAGAGCACAGGTTGTCTAGCTTTACCCTTATGTTCTGCGGGTAGAGGAAGATGCGCAGAAAACTCTTATCCCTAACCTAGACACTGAAAGGAACCAGTGTAATTATGATGCTCAATAAAATCTGTTTGGGGAAAAGCATTACACTCAAAACTTAACGATCACTATAAGCAGTTTCACAAGTTTAAACTAAAATGATTATGTTGCCTGATTTTTGTTGTGGTTTTGGGTTGGTTGGAGTTTTTGTGGTTTTGTTTGCTTGTGGGGATGGAGTTTGGTTTTGGTTGGTTGGTTGGTTGGTTTTTTTTTTTGTTTCATTTGGTTTTTAAGTTAAAATGAGAAAATCTTAAGTACCAAGATTGGATGCGAGGAAGCAAAAAGCACCCACTCAGAACGAAGGCTTTTTCAGTGTAACAGCATAGAAAGCAATATTCACCCGTATGTGAAAAGCTAAGCAATAAAGCATAAGTAGGATCTAATAGGTGTTAATAAGTATTATTTGGAGGGCAAAAAGCCATGATGGAGGCATTTAAAAAGGCACAATCTGAAGCTGTAGCACCAAAAATATCTAAGTACATTAGAAGGAGAAAGCAGTAAAAAATACTGAGTTATGCTGGAAAGTTGATATAATGTAGGCAACAGAAAGATGGAGGACATTACAGATCATCTAAGAGGTTTATGACTTTTCCAGGGGAGCTCTTCTCACAAGCAAATATGCTGCATAAATGCTTTAGACCAGCGTAAGGCAAGGCAGTGAAGCAGCTTAAAGATAAGGCATGGTCTGGGCATTCAGGACTTGCAGAACTACCCCAGGTCACTGTGCCTCACTTAAGCAAAGGCTTTATTGCAGATAGAGGTGTCTTAAAAAAACCAAAGCGACACAAAATGAACCGGAATTGATGAGAAGCAGTAGGGTACTTGAGTGTACCTATGAGTTCTGAGTAGCTGTTCTAGCTGCCAACACTGGAAAGACTTCTGTCAAGAAAATACATGCTTCTCCTCTGTAGTAAAGCTCTTCTGACATGCAGACAAAATAGCAGAGAAAGGAAAACTGTCTTGTTATAAATAACTTGGAGCTGAGGAAGCCATTCTTTAGGGTAACTATTTATGGAAGTACAAGCAGACATGAAATCCACTTGGAGTAAAATAAAAGGGTCAGGTTTACCACAGCAAACTACCAGCAAGCTACCTTTGTTATTGAGCAGCTAGTGGCAGTAGTACAGACCTCTCTTCGCATCTTACATTCCCAGACTCTTGGCAAAGAGGAGTGGGAAGGAAAACAGCAGATGACCTTATTAAATACAAAATATTCATTAAATGGAATAGTGTAATTATTCATGCCCAGATATTTTCTGCATGAATTGTACCTTTTCCAAGAAAAAAAAACAAACCCACGTATACAAACATGAAGTTTCTTTTCATATAAAGCGTTATCACTGTGGGAAGCCTTTAAACTGCATTATCCATCATGTCCCTCCAAACCCATGAACTGTTAAAGGTGTTTATGCTACTGGGATGACTACAGACAACCAGTGTTTTTAGGGGAACCCTAATACAATTGCCCAGAGTCTCATCTCATAACCTGTGACAGTATAGCAAAGTTTGAAGAATTTCCTGTTCTTGTTCTCTCACATAAAGAGATTAAAAACAACTACTGAAAAGCTATCATTGTTTCAATGGTTCTATCAGTTCAGTGAGTGATTTCAAAGCATTGCTGATTAAGTATGGGTAAATACTCCAGTATCCAGCTAAACAAACTTTACTGAGCACTGTAGCTCTCATCATTCTGGGAAAAGTGAAAAAAGTAACTTGTCCTGTGCAAACATAACGAATTCCTAAGTCTCTTCCCTTGACTTACACATTAACCTCACTGAGGAAAGATGTGAGGATATTAGACTAATGTGAATTTGACTAAGAAGAATAACCTTCAGTGATACCAATGGGCCGGTCTGTATATGTCCGAGTACATTCCAAGGGGGAGCTGAAGCATAATAATTTGCCATTTATACGTTCACATGAGTGAAACCAACCAAGTACCTGAACTTTTGCTGTATGTGAAAGTGCAATAACATCACAAAGCATACAAAGGTGACATAAAGAGAAGCTATATAGGTCAATGAATCAAAAAAGTTACGGTTTTCAAACAGAAATACATTAGAAGACATAAAAACACCCTGACACTACTTCAACAACATCATTCAGTTCTCCTATTGGTTAACTAGACTGCTCTACCTAAATAAAGCAGAGAGAGAGCACCCCAGAAGGTCCAAGATAGGCCTGTATCCTAACTAGGAGTGCAAAATTCAGTGACTTACAGTGCACAGTGATGGTGGTCGAGTCCATCATGCTTTTGTCAGTCAGAGCGCACTTATATTCTCCTGTTGCATTTCGCCTCACGTCTGTCATTACGTAAGTATCTGAGCTTCTTATGCCTTCTGTTTCTCCCTGTGGATGGAAAACAGAACATTTATTGCATATGGGCCTGCTAAAAACATTTGTTTCTTATGAGGATTTTTTTTTATTATAAGGGTAGTGAAATACTCCAAAATATGTATAGACACAGCATTACTGAAGTGTAATTACCTGTTAGTAATACTAAGGTTTATTTCCTGCATGACATCAGAGTATTAAAAACCACCTACAATTAAGAGCTTACTCTTTTAATTGAATGATTAACTTATTCTAAGAGGATATTAACATACAAAATGTGAACATTTAGCAGAAAGAAAATGGGAGAAAGCAGGAGACAGTCTACAAATAAGAGTGTTGTAGAAATCACAACAGCTGAACAAATTGTGTTTCTAAATCTGTACCTGAAATTATATATTCAGGTTCGGAAAAATCATGAAGTGTACTGCAGGGCACAGCTTTTAAACAGCGCAAACAAACCCTGCTCTATCCATATCACGGTATGGAGTCTGTTAGGGTGTACACCACTTCATATGCATTTATCAACAAAAACTGGTGTTTGAATTAGGCAGCAAGCATTGCTTTCTGGCTGCCCTGTCGTCCCCCCCGATCACAACTGACTGACTTAATCCACCTTTGAAACAAGCACAGAACAAACCCCTAATTTGTATCTCTGAATTCAAAAACAGATTTAATATACCCATGAATCTTGCAAAGAAATCACCAGTTCCAACTGTCCTTGAGAAAAAGGACTAGTATCAGGTAGAGAGAGACTGAAGGTAAGACAAACTTGGGTGCTCAGCTCACTCACTGTGATGGCAGAGCAAGGGGAGATACCATATACTGTCTTCCCTGGCAGTGGGTTCCCAGCATGAATGGCTATTCTTACATGAGAGGACTTCAGCTCCTAGTTCCCCTTACTGCTTTTCAGCCACTCAAACATGCCAGGAGTCCAAACTAGATGAGGATTATGCTCAAAAGGTGACATGGAGTTTTTGAAATGCCTTGAAGCAGGCCACTGCCTTTGGCCTCTCTCAAAAACAGCTCTGCTTGCTACTGCAGTAGGAACAAAAAAAAGGGATATAAAGCAGGAAAGAGAAGCAGGACACTGGAAGCAGGACTAGGAATATAAAGCCCCATTTGCCTGTGGATTTCACCAATACTAAGCTTAATGGTACCATGCATCTTATGCATTTGACAGATTTTTTTCTGTGCTTTCTTCTGTGCTGTCACACTTGTTCTTTTTGGTATTGTTATGTCAGCAATTAATAAATTAACTGAAGAAAAGGAATTGCACAAAGATTCATCTGTGAAAGTAAAAAAAAAAATAGCTGAATAGATTTCCTGTACTTTCCCTGCTAAATCTTCGCTTGTTATGACAACAGATGAGATGGTTTCATTCAAGATGCTGACTGGCTTTAGTCAAAACTGCCTCTTATCAGAGTATCTGATGATGGGAAATGAATTTAAATACTAGTAATTTTTAGTGGGTCCAAGCCTCAAAAAACTTCAGGTAGGTGGGGTGTAGAAGACATTTTGCAGAATAATTTGCCCACTCAGGTGAGGCATTCTGACAGCCTGCTGCAATGGCTCATGTCTATCTTGAGGTTTTGTTGCATTGAATTCGCTGCTTCATTTGTTAGAAAAATCACAGATACACTGGCATGCAGCTGTATCTGTAGGAAGGGACGATACAGAATGTTTCACTACACAGTGACATCAAGGCAGGACTTACTGGAATGTAAAACAGGAACTCCTGCGGAGGAGGGTTGCCATTCCCTGAGCACTTCAGAGTGATGTTATCGCCTTCTTTAACCGTACTGCTTTGTGACAGCACTTGAATAGTCACCTTCTCTGTTGGATCTGTGAAGGTAATGTACACATTTAATAGCTTCCACAAAAACCTGCACTGTTTTACTATGCAGACAATATTCATGGCCTAAGAGTACATGATTTTATCATCAAGCGAGTGAAGGTATTCGCATATGTAAAAAGAACTGACGTTAATCACACTTTCTGCATTTTTGCCAATGAAGTAAGTGCAAAGAAGCCGTATGATTTCATTCATTTTTCTTCACCAAAATACCTCTAACTGAAACAGCAGTGATTACAACCATGTCATGTACTTAAAAGGAAAAAAACCCTGATGGGTATGAACAGTTCCATGGTGTGATTTCATTATGAGACATTAACTTCTTCTCTGCGAAGCTCACTGTTTGGAGGACTGCAGCAATCAGAAAAACAACTGAAGCTCTCAATGCCTTGCATTAGCACTAGATAATAATCTTCTTGCATTAAAAAGAAAGAAATATGAACTAAGCAACTATGTTCAGCCTATTCTATATGCTGATCACTACAGGCTTTCAGAAAGATGAATCTGGTGAACATAATAGGACCCTTAACATAGTCAACAAAACTGTAAATGTAACATACTTCTGTCATGTTCAGTGAAGTTGAACTATAACTTACATTTTGCATTGGTAATTATTTTAAGCAGAGACAAAATATACTTTAATAGATGCTATTCTACCCAAGTAGAAACCTAAATATATTTAAAAAAAAAAGGAAGAAAGAAAGAGGAAAACGAACAAAAGAACAGGAACGGGGGCAGATAGCTCTCAATGCTTTAGTTTTAATGGGTAAATAAATCCCACCAAAAGATGCCAGTCTCGCATCAAGACACAGCAGAGCGCATCTTATTAGACACTAAAAAAAAATTACATAGCAGAGAAACCCTTGCCTGACAGTTGATTTTGTGTGCTTAGCGAAGTGTGCGCTTCACAGCCCTCCCGACCCTTAAGGCATTCATCATGTCTGTCTTCTGCTGTGGGATTTCTCAGTAACACAAACTACATTTTGCTGTGGCCTCTTAATGACTGAGAACCCTAACGCAGCATCTCTCCTCCTCATAGGAGGATGGGTATTGGGCTTCAACAAGCTACATCCTCCCTCTTTCAGACACAGTAGCCTCGACTCCCATGTCCAAACCGCTTCCATCTCAGTACCTTCAGAGCTGAAGCACAACTATGCCTGCTTACGAAAGGGAAGTCCAGCATCACTGCTGGTGTGGAATGCGACAGCTGCAATGAAGTAGCTGGTCAGGAAGCCCAAACACACCTCTTGACAACAGCTGGGCAAAACCCCCGTGTTTCAGGGGCTGCCTGGTGAGCTGGCCTGCTGCAGAAACTCTGCATCAACTTGACAGAAGGAGAGACAAGATGACTAAATGTGAAAAAGTTACTGTAAAGGATGTCTAAATATACCCTTGAATTGCTTAGGCTCTGTCTCAAAAACGAAAACGGATGAGGCATCCCTGCCCATGGCAGGGGGGTTGGAACTAGACGATCTTAAGGTCCTTTCCAACCCTAACTATTCTATGATTCTATGAATTATAATGAAGGTGACTTTTAGGATTTTAATTTGGAAGAGGTTTGCACACAGAGATGAACAGAACGGGATTAAAAATGGACAGATAAGAATGACTTCTTGCAAACCACCAGTCTTCCCTGCAGGAACATGTTACCCTTCTATCTCCTGCAATCAACCATGAGCAAATCTTTGATTTCATTCTCCAAACTGGAGACAGAGGCCACATCTGGAATATTGTGTCCAGTTCTGGGCCCCACAGTTCAAGAAGGACAGGGAATTGCTTGAAAGAGTCCAGCGCAGAGCCACAAAGATGATTAAGGGAATGGAACATCTCCCTTAGGAGGAGAGGCTGAGGGAGCTGGGACTCTTTAGCTTGGAGAAGAGGAGGCTGAGGGGTGACCTCATCAATGTTTACAAATATGTAAAGGGTGAGTGTCAGGATGATGGAGCTAGGTTTTCTTCAGTGATGTCCAGTGACAGGACAAGGGGCAGTGGGTGTAAACTGGAGCACAGGAGGTTCCATGTGAACATCAGGAAAAATTTCTTTACTGTGAGGGTGACAGAGCACTGGAACAGGTTGCCCAGGGGGGTTGTGGAGTCTCCTAAGTTGGAGATATTCAAGGCCCCCCTGGACAAGTTCCTGTGTGATGTACTCTAGGTTACCCTGCTCTTGCAGGGCGGTTGGACTAGATGAGCTTTTGAGGTCCCTTCCAACCCTTGGGATTCTGTGATTCTGTGAAACTGCAAAAAAAAAGTATTTACAGAAGTAAGTAACAAAACACTGCTTTGTTCTCTGAGGTGAAGAGGTCATCCTTTCGAGGAAAAAACAACCTGATGATAGGAAAACAGAGCGTTCGGTGCAGTGCTGAGTGCTGCTTAGCACAAGTAATGTCCTCCCTTACTTTCACTAATAAACAAGAGGAGCCTGGGGAAGGTGTATCTTGCCTCTCAGTGGCACATATCCCCGCCTTGGCCCCCCTTACCATGTGCTTCTCTAAACCTGAGAGTCTGCTTTACACAAGAGCAAAAGTCTGGGATCCAAAAGACAGTTATTCATGAAATGAATGCTGCTATCCTTGATCCACCATGGCCACAACTGCATAATTGCAAGGGAAAAACCAGTGCTGGAAGCAGCATGAATATAAAGTGTTTGACTCTAATCTGTTATGCAACAAAGTTTATCCGTAACAAGACAGACACTGAGAAACAGGGCATGACTGGAAAGTCCGCCTGACAAACGTTTTTTTACACTGATTAATACTGAGCAGAACCCAGTATCACTAGAGTCTAGGTAATTTAGACACCTGAGATACTGTCCAACTGTCCAGCTCCAAGAGTTCTCTTGTGTTACTTATGTTACTTTCAGTAGCTTGCTTGCTACAGCTGCAAACCAGATCTGATAACTACTGCCAGCTCAGCTAAGTTCTCCAGTTCCAGATAGCACCCAAAGTGGTAGGGGCTAATTCACTCTTCCTCTCAAACTAGGTTACAGTGGCTGGCTGCTTCCAGGATGTCAACTAGGTAATATACACTTATGTACTAGAGACTGCACTAGCCCAGAGCTAAACCCCACCTCCAAACAGTAAAACATTTCTTAGATCCTGACTGAATAAGTGTATCTATCAAACAATCTTGTGTAGACACAGTTTTAAGCATGCTTTTCTCATTTCTGCATGATAAATGCTTAAACTGCAAAGAACAAACAACAGGTCTGCTTCATGATATTTTTCTACTTGCTTCAGAGATGCAAAACACAGTAAGTTTTGACAAAGTCAGTCTCAAAAAGAATCCCAACCCTGGAAGACCTCCATTTATTTGAGTTGGAGTATGCCTTTTTTTTCCCTCATCTGCATTATATTTGACTTATACAATAAAAAAGCCCAACACATTTACTGAGAAAGAAACTAATTAGGATCACTGAACTAAATTACAAAACTAAGAATAGAACAGACATCACTATCATCAAGTAACATCAGTCATGAAATTCACGTGTTGAAGCTTTGGACATCTATTAATAAAGAGTTTCACTGATTCATTTGGAGATGCATTTGAGCAGAGTAAGAAATTGAAGTTACAGCTAATGAAAATACTCAGAAAGGATAACTCCATACTCTAAACCCAAAGTTCATACTTGAGGCCTCTTTACTACTGAAGGGTGTGCCTGCCTCCCACTGTTGCCTAATTAGCAGCACAATGATACTGCCTGTCTCTGGAGGAAGAACTATCTTAATTACATTGTGCGTTACAGGATTAAAAGAGCTGGTCTAGAAAGCAAAGTGTTTAATACAGAATGCACATGGTTTCTGGCATAGGAACTACTCTGCAGTGCTGCGCAGACTTCTTTTTCCCTCACATCAGGTAGTCCTTAATTGCAAGTGCACATATTATGTGTACCACAGAAATCTGCAAGAGCCTCATCCTCAATAGATGAAGCAGTCTAATGCATGAAAGCGATGGGGAAACGAGGAAAAAGGATCTCTCGGCAACTAATAGCAACAAATGCTTTCTGGTCATCACACTTCTTCCCTGTGAACATCTGCCATACACAGCAGGAGTTATTTGCGGTCATGGGGCTCCACAGTTGACAGAAATAAAGAGAAAACACCAGGGAAATTTGGTACCCAACTTTAAAGCAAAGCCAAAACATAAAAAAAACCCTCTAGCTTTAAAGTGATGGGATAGGTTTCTGCATGCTTGAAACACCTATGCTATTTCCAATGATAATGATTGCTGTCCCAGAGGTTTTCTTCTCCATTTCTGCTGGTTGTCATTTTGGAGAAATGGCTTGTAAAAAGAAGGCTGTAATTTACTCTGGCTTTTCCAGGTGAAACCAAGGAGCAATTGCTCCAAGGTTTTATACGATTTGACTAAGGTCAAAACTGATCTCCTACTCCATGGCCTAACAAACCTCGCCTGGGAAGGAGAACCAACTGACCAGCTAGGCAGACGTACCCACTTCAAGCCTGTGGCCTTTGTTTCAAGGCGATGGAGCAGATGTGCTAGCTGGAGAAATCCAGTCCCTTACTGATTTTCTCTGTATTCAACTGCATTATAGAGTTGTTACACAATGTACAGCAAGACCCTATTAGATGCTGGACTATATACTTAGACTGTATCATCCCCAAAAGAAGGACTTATAAATTGAACTATTACCTGAAGTATGCAGAAAGGTAACACAGTATGTCCAGTCAAGTGTATCTCCTGTTCCTCTACATTCTGCTACAACCTGCTGCCTTCTACAGTCCTTCATTTTACAAGACTTTTGAAACCCTCTTCTCCCCTTCTCTAATTGCCTCCTCCAACTATGACCTTTCCTTGCCAACTGCCCATTTAGTTTATTCAAAGCAGAATTACAATTTCCACTTGGTCAGTAATAAATTAAGGAAGCTGCTTTAGGACTTAGGCCAGATGGAAGCCATTATTTATAGATTCTCTATGTAAAAGTCTACCAATATTCAAATGATACATTTTAAATGTAAAAATCAGCATTTTACAGCTGTATACAAGCTACTGCATTATGTGCAAGGTAATCTGCCTGCATTAGATGTTTGGTGCTGTCTCTGCAAAAATGAAAAACATTTTAGTATACTAAAAGCTGCACTGTGTATTTATTGCGTATTTCAGGGGGTCCAAACAGTCACTGATCAACCACTCTAACCTCTGTTCAACCTCTGACAGGCGTGTTTCACTAAGCTTTTGTGGTTGCCACTTTCATGTTGTCGACGCAGTCCTGATATTCAGCATTCTAATGTGAGAAAGAAACATCAGGTAAACCTGAAGGAGCAATTACACAGTGTACTCAGACCTTCTTGCTGCAAATCAGCTTTGACGAAAGCATCTCAACAGGCAAGCAGCAATGTCTCTGATTCTGCTTCCCACGCCCGAGTTAGACTTCATAAAATAGTAGGTGCTTTCTACTAACTTACAGTGAACATCGAAGACAGCTGGTTCAGACTGTATTGTTTTCTGGCCGGATGGTCCATAATACATCACAATGCAAGTGAACTTGGCATTCGCATCTTCCTTTGTCGGCTTGTACTGAAGAGACGATGTCATGGTGAAGAGTTCAGTTGACTTGTCCACAATCTTTTGCAAATTTATGACCACAACTGAAAAGGAAATACTGTTTCAGTGTCACACAGGCAAATCTGCAGCCTTTTTTTCCTACATGTTGGTGCTCACTCTGGATTTGTTATCAGGATACAGACATGCAAGCAACACAACAAATTACCCAAGAGACTGTACAGTTTTCCTCTAGTATTGCCACTGATGTACACTGGGAACATTTAGTCAACAACAGAGTCCTAACGTGCTGTATTTCTTAGAGCAAATCAAACAAGAAAACTAATTGTAAACTGGTGGGGGTTTTAATACAAATCTCAGCTCAATTTTTAAGCAGAAAGAAAGCCTCAAATATCCTGGCAAAACCAGTTTTTAGGATCATATTTACAACTGAGTTTTGTTAAGTATTGTCTGCTTTACGGAAGGTAAAATACTGTGGTCTGATTAGCCCATCAAAATCAAATTTGAAAGAGTGAAAAAAACAAGCATTCTTTGTAAAGATCCTGGAAAATGAATACCTGCATAAGGACATGACCATCTACATGTTCCAAACACAATACTGGACAGGTATGAAACCGAGACAGTTAACACCTAATAAGAAGCTGGAAATTAGATTCAGGTTTCTACTAGCTACATAGGCTCAAGAGTAGCTTTGCAATAGTATTAACAAAGGCGACCCTCATTCCCCATGATGTAGTTTTAAAGCTGGAACTGAAAGAAAGACATTATATGGCACAGCTTGGGTGCTTTGAATGGCCTAGAAGTTTCCTTCCAGTTTCATATTTCCAGGAGTAGTTTTCCTTGAAGGAATAATACATAAAACTGAAGTAGAGCAACTCTTACAAACACAATTCCTGCCTGCGGATTTAGGGACCTTGGCTATTATTGAAACGTACCTTCTTCCATGGGCTGCAAAACTCTCCCGTTTTTGTACCACGTAACGTTGCCTTCAGGATAACTATCTCTTGCAACGCACTCCCCAAGCTGCAAGAACAGACAGGAATTAGTTGCTGTTTCTCTCTGCTGTGTTTTAAAATAATTCAATTTTTTGCTTATGGTGCTTTGGGTAAAAATTTCTCAGAAGTTCAAATGCTTAATCCCAACCATTTTTCTTAAATAGGACAAAACCCATCAATGAGGCTTTGGTACAATGTGGAAGAGGGTTTGTTGGGGGGGTCTAAGATAAGGATGGGCCAGTACAGTACAGTGGTGAGGGAACTAGCTATAGACCACGATCTCTCACAGACACACATGCACCCTTCTTTGAGCCTCATTCCAACACCTTTCTCCACGTTGACTTCAGGCAGCTGTCAGGCACATAGCTTTGAGGGAGAATGCTGCTCTTACCATTTGTAGCTTCTCTGTTTCTAGGTAGTCTGCTTGGTGCAAGATTTCTGGTTGAGAGGGTTGTTCTAAAACATAAATAGGATAAAGGTACTAGTGAAGGGAGCACAAACAGCTGTTTGAAAAACAGAAAGTTACTAAGAAAACCCTCATGGATTTTGAGACTAAATAGAACAATCCGGTCTGGTATGGTCTTACCTACACTTTGCCATTACAAGGAGAAAAAGTGAGCTACTTCTATTTCAGTATTAGCAAGTAGATTGAAAAGGAGAAAGCTATCATTTTAAAACCTGTCATAATGAATTCCACGCATTCTGACAACACATTTTTTTAGCCAGGCAGACCAGTGCAGCACCTGGGAGGAGAGAACCTGATCTGATTTATATGACACATGCTGGAGAAGAAACCAGTGGCACAGAAATGATAGCAACAGAAAAGCAGCTTTACTGTGGATACAACTGTAGCCGAGCTGTCACATTATAAAGGAACCAATTCAACCTAATCATTCTTCTAATGTTTATTTTTCCTAACTGTGATTGTTACAGTTAAGAAATTCAGATGATAGAGATAAATGTAATTACTTAAACTGATTCTGAGTTAGTTATGACTTCCTTAAAAAAAAATAAACTTTTCCTTCAGTGCCAGTATGTCTTCTTATTTGCTTTTATTATGGTAGATGGACCTCTTAGCCTGCCAAAGTGGAGGATCTATCAATGTTTCCATCATAAAAGAGTACTTTCTAGAGACTATATAACTTGTCTGTTAAAATAGTTTGGCCTGAAGCCCGGAATGCAAATTTTTATCTCCAAAAGAGACAGTTTTCCCCACAGTTTTATAGGGAGAGGGGAAGAGTAAGGGGGAAAAAAATAAATCAAGGTTTATAGAGTCAAAAAAAACCTCTGCACCCTAGCTATACTGCATTAAAAAGCATTCATAGTATATACTTTTACAGACTGAAACATTCTAAACCATGCCAGCTTACAGAAATCAAGCTCCCCAATAAATAATGTGTGTATGTCACTAATCCCAGCCCAAAGTGAACTTACTACCTTGCCAAAATCTCTACACACTGATGAGCTTACTGATGTGCTTACAGAGATTGCAAGCCAACACGTTTCAACAGTAATCCATTTGCTCTGTATGCATGTGCATGTATGTGTGTGTATTTGTGTCCATACAAACGCACGTATACCATTCACTTGGAAGACTACACCAGGATGGAACAAGAACAGCTCAAAAAGGAAATGAAAGGCAATAAAAGAACCTATTCATTTGACAGTTTGAAAAAAACCCAAACAACCAAAAAGAAGTCAAAGCTATACACCAAAAGCATCACAATTTCTCCAAAGGGCTAGTAAAGATTATTCTTTGAAGATATGTGCATACTTATTTCTCTTTTGTTACTTTTAATGGAAAAAGGTTAACCTATTCTCTGTAAGAACCTGTCAAGGACAAAAACATTTTAATGTTAATTCAAGCAAGTGTGGTTTCACAAGACCATTAACAGGCTTTCTGGTCCAGAATTTTGGGTTCCATAAACATGCACAGTTCACTGCCTGTTACAAGTCACCAGCTGGTTGAGCTAAAACACCCTTCTATGCCTCAGCTTTCCTTCCTTTCATCTCTTATCTCCCCCAGGTCTGCTTGGAGAATATCACATTTTGGTCCATTGGGCTCCCCACCCTGCAATGCTCCTACTGAAAGAAAGGGAAGACTCCTGCTCTGTAGCCCCTGTGTGGCTCTCCCTGCTGTGAGGGACCTGGTCACTGAGCAGACAGATGCACCAGTCGAGAAGCAGCCACATTCTCCCTCAGAGGAGCCTCTGAAAGCAAACATCCACTGCCAGATACCCACAGCCACAGCAAGGGCACCAAGGCAGTTCCCTACAGAAGACTTACTTGGCATTTACTAGCTCAGGGTCTGAAGCAAGAAGGAATCGTAAACTTGGCAGCAGCAGAGCCCGCTTTGGTGGGTTTGCAGCTTCAGCCCACTGCTTATCTCTCAGCTTAAGAGCTTGTCAGAGCGTTCTGCAACTCTGTATAGACCCTGTAATAGGGGGGAAAAAGCTTACTGCCTGCAAAAGCCAAGCATTGTTATGGTGGGACAGCAGCTCATGGCTGCTGGGCTGCTCAGCTTTGGAAACTGGCCATTTAATTCCATGAAAGAGATGCGGACAGGATCCATCTGGAAAGCTGGTAGAGCCTGTTTGAGCAGTCTGGTAAAGGAGACTAGCAGGTGGTACCTGTGCAATGAACCATTTCAACTCCTTAGTTCTGAGTTAATCAGGTAGCACAGCTGAGGACATGACAAGCTCCAGTAAAACCCAGCATCAGGCACGACTTCTAGGATACAGCTGAGTTTCAGGTGCACAAGAGTTTGGTTTATTTGGGTTCACACTGCTGCAGTTTAGCTCTGTATCTGTGGTTCAACGAGTTAGGAACTCTGCTGGTTGAATAAATGAAGCCTGTGGGCTATTTTTAACTCTTTCGTAATTAGAACAAGTGAGCCAGGAAGCAAGCAAGAAAAAAAATGAAAAAACAGAAACCAGACATAAGGAAGGGAAACGCAAAGAAATGTTAAAATAACCCTAAATAAAGTTGTGAGCTCAAAAGTAAGAGCTGCGAAGGTTATTGTTCCTTGTAGTGCTAAGTCTGCCACAGTACGTGTGGCATCCCCTAGTTTAACCTTCCCTCACAAACAGAAGATTTCTCTATTAGTACTAATGCACACAATAAAACACACAAGCTGTGCTCTGTGGCTGAGTTAGCACTGTGTTAATATTTAGTGCAGTACACAGTAATTCAAGCAGTTAGCATTTCATTTTATTATATACCACTGTCTTATCTACCTATTTACTGCTGCGTGGTAAGTAAACATGATAATTCTTCATCATTTCCTTTGAAGCAGTGTGTTTACCATGTGTGCTCCGAGCACACTCCTCCCTATTGTCATTAATTCAATTGTTCCTGCACTCAAATTGAAAGTGAAACAGAGGAACAGAATTACTGTCAACTCCTAATTCAGCTTCAAACTCACTGATGCCACCAACAGACTTCCCTGACGACCCCCTGACACCTTCCGCAGACAGAAGCACAAGGCTGTCCTTCCAAAGCATGACTTGGCATTTTTCAAGCAGAAGCGTGATCTCTTTGAAACTGTCCATCCCTGCAGGCAACATGTTCCCACAACAGACTTACTTCGTGCAAATCTGCATCTGGAGAGCAACAAAGGCCAAAAAACCCTACCTATAAAAACATGAAGCTGAGAAGAGATCCACTGCAGTCACAGGGCAGCATTTACAGATGCTAACCTTTGCCCCAACAGACTTGTGCCCCTAAAAAGGGGGCTGAGTCAGGATTACATTTCTGCTCTGAATTAGCACGGGGAAAAGGCCAGGTTTGTCCACGCTCCTGTATAACCTGAGCATGACTGTGCCCCAGAGCCCTGGGGTTTGCACTGCAGATTAGCCTTGCAGTTGGGTTATAGCGCTATCACTAAAACTTTGCTGTGCTCTAAGAGAGAAGTGCAAACTGGTATTCCTCCTGGTAGCTCTGGAGAGGACAGAATAAGCATTTGGGGCTGTCAGCTCCTTTTCCAGCCTCTCACTCTCTCCCTCACAGTTCATACCATTGCATACAGGCTGCCCAGTGCTGCTTTAAATCTCATCTTACAGACTGCACACAGTTAATGCTTCCCTCCCGCAGAAAAATTCACTTGGAGAACAAATGGAAAATAATCAGTGCTAATTTTACATTTTTCATTTCCAAGGCCAAATGACATCATATAAGTGAGTCATTATCAAAGCCCAAAATTCTCTTTGAGCCAGCACTTATCATGAATAAACTGAAAGTGCAGGCAGTCCTGTTACATAAATGCCGCCAGTAGATTACATTTTTGAAAGCTGCAGAGATTTGCTAGTCTTAGTAATTTACTCAGCCAAGCTCACTTTCTTGGCTTTAATCTTTCCCTTAAACAAAAGTTTCTGCAATTTACGATTCAGATGCTGATGAATGTTAACGGTAGTAACAACTAGATCTACTTACTGAAGACTTTGACTATCGTTGGCTCTTCGAAAACATCATCTTCTGTAACAAGCATACATACAAATCTCTTTTCATCACTGATTCTTGCATTCTTGATGGATAATGTATAGTTTTCTGAGAGACTCAACCTGTCTTTGTACTCTGGTACATCATCATACTGCACATTTTTTTTTGTTGATGATCTGAAGGCAATAAATACTGGAGATCCATTTGGCATTTCCTATAAGAAAAAGATAAATACCTCTAGCTTGCACAAACTCTCATTTAGAAGTACCTGAACATCTGCAATTGGTACAAACGCATCATTTGATAAAAAAAATCTGATAACTACATCAGATGGCTTTTTTCCTGATTAATTTCTGCTATACAAACAGGAAATTCAACGTAAGATGAGAGCTAGTTTAAGACTGCTGTGGTACACATAGAGAATATCATCAGTAGAGGTAACTTCAATCCCTTGGCTCAATCTTGGCATAGCACAGGGCTTTCTCTGATGAAGGCTGGTGGTTCTGGCACCAGCTGCCTCTATCTGAAAAAAGTACTTGAACGAGAAGCATTCGTGAGCTTGACCTTAGAAGCTTCAGTTTCCTTTTCTTTTCCATGATTGTTTTACATATTCATATTGTTTGTCTGGGATATTGAGACTTCATTCCAAATGCAGGATTTAATCAGGCAAAACTGCCTATTTTATTCTAAATTAGTTTTTAACTATCTTTTTGTTTGTTTTGAAAGGACCCAGGAGCTCGTGGCACGGGACCATACATACAATCAAATACTGTTACTTACGCATGCCCTGATAATCTGCAAAATAGCATTTTCTAGACATCCTCCTTATATTAATCAGTGTGCTGTTACCATCCTAAGAAGGAATACAAAGTTGACAGCCTTGCATAAGACTCCCATACAAAAAAAAAGCATTTTTGAGAGACAAAGTTGCAGGTGGAGCTCTGCAGGATTTGATTCCCCCCTCCTTACACACACACACACAGAACAGGGACAGGCTCTGTTTGCCTTTATTTAAAGTGAGGTGAAAGGCTGACTCCATCTTTACGTTCAGCATTGTGCTGGGGGCTGAAGGAGGTTTTCATTCTCTTTTATCCCTTGCACCTTGCAGCACTGATGCAAGTTGTGTTCCTAGCACAACACCTCAGCTTGACTGCAGAGTGCACAAAAGCAGGAAGATGCTGTTACAAGAGATGGGTGCTGTCAGAGATGGGCAAGGAGCAAGAGGCAACAGCTCATGGGAAGTTTAAATTCCCTTACAGTCTTTCTCCTTCTCCCACTTTCAGATCCCTCTAGTTGTCTGTCACACAGGAAAGAAAGTATTGCCTTGACTTGATACACAGGAAATTGGCTGTCAAGTGCAAAGGAGCTCTTAACTCTAAGCCTACCCAGAACACAGGCAGGCACAGGCAGACATTCAAGGCAGCAAAGCCTGCTCCTGCCAGGATGCAAGTTTCCTCAGTACCCCTGGGCTCCCACCAGGAACATTAATTGCTTCTCCCAAAGCAACAGAGCAGCAAACATAGTTCCTCCTTCTTCCAGTGAAATATTCACCTAACCAAAAACCCCTAGCATCCCCTCACACACCAAGCACTGTCTGGCTGGGAGCTGCCCTGGGAGAACAGATACCATTTTCACTTGGTTACATGCGCTGTGTCAAGAATTTATACAATAGCAACTAAATGGACTCTCTTGCACGTTAGATTTCATGTCCCTTTCCACTCAGAAGAAGATGTAACACTTGCTGCTTGGTACTTGTCTGAGATGAGCAATCCAAATGCACCAGATAGAGATAACACGTTTCTTTTCCCTCAAAATAGCCTTGCGTCTTCATAGAGATAGACTTGTGTCTTCCTCAAAAAAGCCAGCAGACTGAAACAAACACGCTGCGAAATGCAGGTGCTGCATCTTCTGAGCACTCATGTGAAACAGTTTCACTGAACCTATTTGGCATAACATTCTCCACTGACTTCTGCCTTCACTTCCCAAAACACGTTTGTGGAGAAGGAACTCGAGTGGATGAGGGCTGCAAAAGCTGCAAACCTCCAGGTACAAAGGAAGGAGCCAGGAGGGATGATGAGACACCTGTAAAATAGGCTGGTGGATGCCATTTACAAAGAGAGAGCTACATAATTTTAAATCCACTGTTAGAGTAGAAATCACCTGTTATTGCTGGTAAGATTTTAGCATGAGAGAAGGTTCAGATGAATTTCACAGAAGCAAGAAAACCAGTTGTCCTGATGTCAGTCTGAAAAGCATGAGGGGTTTGGTATCCCAGTGGTTTTCAGTATGCATGCTTTCAAGGTTTCATTTGACTTTGATATGCTTATTCTCCTTTTGGCCTGGGGTACCACTCTCATACGGGAAAATCACATCCAGTGATGCTCTTACTTCAAGCTGACCAAGACAACCGAGAGGACACCGTGTTTTCACCTTTGTCTTCTGTGCAGCAGAAATAGAGTGAAACCACCAGAAACTGAGGTCAGCTCTGCCCTCTTCTTCAGCATCCATTAAATGCAGCGTGAAACCGTGTTGAGTGACTGCCAGACCAACAAACCGAGGGATGTCACTTCCCCAGGGACAAAGCACTGTTCTGCTTTAGGCAGCCCGCTTCAGAAGTATTCAAATGTACAACGAGTGAGACACCACTGGGTAACGTGCCAGATCTCTAATACAGGTTGGCAGAAAACTCCCGCATAATTATTTCTCTTGAACAATGAGATTAATTCCTCAAAACTCTAACCTTGGCAGAAACTATGCAGACTGGAATCTTGTAGCCTTACAACCACAGGAATAAATGTCTCTGTATCCGAGGCAGAAATCCTACCAATTGGAATCTTGTAATCCATAGCAGCTTTAATGAATATAAGGTAAGCTATACTTACATATTTCCATTTTCCAAACATGAGACCATCTGGTACTTCTAGACGACAAGGCATAGTAATAGTATCTCCATATACTGCATTCACTGTGTACAATCCCAGAGCTGGAGGAGAAACAGAAAGAGAGAAACAATTTTAAGTGTTTTCTGGAGTCCCCATATGCTAGGTAACGTTTGGTTCACAGCTATTACAAACGCAGAGCCGCCTCCTTGACAAACGGTTATTTTCCAGCATGCAGGATTTATACCCAAACCTCTAATAAAATAGGATTCCAGTCACCAACGTCATTTATTTAAACATTACAAACTTTTTGGGCCCACTTTTCCTGCTGAAGTCAAATGGGGTACATTTCCAAACAGGACTGCACCCACTCAACCAGATAGACATGTATATTGCCATCAGTATCCACAGCTAATGTCCCAAACTTGAAAGTTCAGGAAAAGGAAAAACCCTAAACCTTTATTTTCTTCATCTCAAAACCCAGCCACTTCTGCCTGGAGAGCCTGTGCTGCAATGCAATATTGTGAGGAGGACAGCAGACAAAGTGATGCTCTGACTGCTGCACTGCATTAAAAATGTAGAAGAAAATAAAAGAAACAGAATGTTATTTAAATGCTGGGTTCCCTTAAACTTGGGGGAAAAAAAACCTAGTTTGTACATTTAGATTTCGGAAAAGTGAAATGCTTCCATGAATTATTTATTATTTAAGAACAGCTTTCTTGGAAACCTCAGCAAAATATTATTGTGCTAATGCATACAAATTTACAGAATAAAACTGACCCACTTATTCTCATTGTCCAAAACATGAGAATTGAACAAAAAAACAGACCCCAAAGTGACGAAATGTTAAAACACAAGGAAGTTTAAAGGGAAAGCTGTTACAACTTGGTGCATTTGCTATAATGCAACTTTGCTTTGGTCCTGTTTTCCATATTTGCCCCTGCTCTCTGTGATGCTCACTGTTCCTTGCACTGGAGGCAGGTTTTGCCTCTGGTGCTTGCCTGGTGTCACTGAGAGAGCGTATTGCTGCCGGCTCTCACCCCGATGTCTGCAGCTTTTGTCAGGGTCTGCTGCCCAGAGGCTCAGGATCTCCCCCACTTTGCTCTCCCCTCATTTGCAACTGGAGCTGCAAAATGAAGGGCTTGCTGCCAAAGAAACCTTATTTAAGGGAGAGCAGTAGGATGCTGGTGATGTAGCCAGAGCCGCAGAGACACCCATTCCTTCTAGAAACATTGATTTTCCAGGAGATTCAGCCCTTCTTGCTAGAGCTGCAAACATCAAACCTGTTCCCATGCACCCCCAAAAACCTGAGCCTCGGATCCCTTAACTTTTCCCAAATGCCCAGGCAGCTAGCTACTGGCATGACCTAACAACTATACTGACTGCAGATGTGCTCTCTACAGGAAGAGTTTTCCCAAGGGATTATTTTTCTTTCAACAAAATCATGTCTTCTCAAAAAGCCAAACACTGAATCTCTTGCCCACAATTCCAGTGAGAAAGACTCCACAGCATTTTCCTCAGGTGAGGATTTCAAAGCTTACTGTTAGCATGAGCTCATACGTGCCATTTGTATCACAGTAATAAATGAGGCTGTGACTTGGGTCGTGTGGTAATGCACAGAGAAACAGTACTCCGAAATCTTTCCTTAGAGATGCTTACAGCCTGGATGGCATCCCACAGTAAGGCAGAGAAGCAGGCGAACAGGCTGGAGCTGGAGGGACCAAAGGAACGCAAAAGCTAACAGGCACCGCTACCCGCATGTATCTTAAGCTTTCTTTCCTTCACACTGCTCCTTTCCAACTAAACAACTGCTAATCCTCTTCCGATTCTGTTCTCTCATTAGTCACAAACATGTCATTCACACTACAAGGACTGCATGCTCCCATTTGCTGTGCCGTTTACAAAGACCAGCAGTCTTCTAAGTGACAAGAGCAGCCAGCCCACTAGATGGTGCTGAGTAAGAGCAATCGTTAAAAGTGAAAGGTTTTCATAAGAAACCAGCTAAGCTCGATTTTATGGAAATAGGACCAATGGTTTACAAAATCCAGCTATACATGGAAGTAAAATCTGAAGCTGGAACAAATTCTTCCCTTGGCCCTCTCTTGCACTCACGCTCATTCTGATCTCCAGGAAGGGAACAACGCAGCTTTGGCTTTGCAAGTTGAATCCTAATTTTCACTTCTGCTGGAGTTAGGAAAAAAAACAGTCCTTTTGGTTCCTCTCTCCCGTGGATGTGAGAGTACATGAGACTTGCAAATACACACTCCACTAGTAAGCTGCTTAGTTCCCATTCACATTCCAGTCAAGTGTCATTTAGTAATTTGAATCCTGTAATGGTATTTTGCATCACGTGGAAAACCTGCAACTGCTCCTCCTGCTAGGACATGCTCCCTGTCACTAGGGAAAAACAAAACGCCCCTGTGGGATCTGTGAGGATGTTCTCCCCCAGACACCCGTTTAACCCCTGCAAGTTGCTAAGGTAGCGAGTATCCCTCGCTGAAGAACTGACAAATAGCTTCATGGGTGCGAATGAAACTGTTTCAGGCAACCATTTACGTTTAGCATTCAGAGCAGGTAACCAGTGAACGGCCTGATAAAGGCAAGACTGGCCCCTGATTTTAGAAAAACTCTTCCATCTGGAAGGCATTCCTTAGGGTGGACAAACCATCCCAAAATCATGTCTTGCCATAAATTCTGCCAGTTTTCTAGGAATGCGTTAACACAGAACCAAACCCACACAAGTTTTACTTGAAATGCACAGAAATGATCCTTAGAAGAATACAAGAGGTCCTGCTGTAAAGTTTTCTCCTCCCACTTCTGTAGCAACAAATATCGGACATTTAAGGAGCGCAAACTAGCTGAGTAACTGCAAAGTTTCACTGCAGGAACCACAGTAATCTTCACAAAGCAACAATGCAAACCTTACATTTAAGAATCAAACAACTCAGCGAATCTAGAAACTCTTCTCTGTTGCTATCAGATATACTTGTAAAATGGTGGGATGAAGAAGAGAACTCAATGATTGCTTAATGATACAATAGAGCTTATCATCAGCCATCATTTTTTGAGAGCCCTTTACATAATTTCCAGCTCATTCTAAGGAAAATAAATAAATAGATAGATAAAGGAAGATCTACAGATATAGAACAAATTGCTCCATGCCCTAACACAACACAGGGTCAATGTCAAGGCCCTCCCACCCCATTAACTGCAGGAGGGCACGTAGACAACTGTAGGGAATAACACTGCAAGAAGTTACTAGACACCATACCCTGCCCTTCTGTAGTTCTGATGCACCTTTAAGAGCCCAGCCAGCTCCCCTGCATCATTTTCAGATGTTACCTTCCACAACTGAGCTGACACTGTTACTGACAACACTCACTCAGAGGCAGCATCTTGTCCCATATGCTTGGAGAAGCTCTACTTGAACTAGCTATGAATTCATAGCCTATATACCTATGTGAATTCACACCTATATAGCAGGTTAATCCAGCTCACCTTCCTTCCATGTCTTTAAATATATGTTTGAGCAGGCTGAGGTTTAACTTATTTCCCCTTCTCTGGTCCAGTGCTAAAGAAACTGTGAACTAGATTAAACCTTTCCACACAGGTCCAGACACAGGAAGAAAGCAGCAGCATCAGGAGGTACGGCGACTCAGAGAAAGATCCCAGCAGGGCACTGTTAAATTGAGATGACATTTGCAGTTGATGCTTTTAATTACAGTATTTTCCACATCCCCACTGCACTGCTAACTGCATCCTTCTTTGTCCCACCTCCCTGCATGTGTTTCACAAGGGAAGAACAAAACAGCACCCACATATTTGGGTGACAAAACAGAAAGAACCTTACTACTTGAACTGAGGGTTAACGGCAGAGGAAGTTATTTTAGATCCTCACCAGGAGTACATGATGCGGGTTGTAATTAAGACTAATTATTATTTTCAAATCAAAGGGATCATATAAGAGGAACGGGTAGAAGGTATCTAAAGATCAGGAAGCTGACGTTTCTCGGAGGAAATAACAGAAGCTGTAGGAAGCGTGTGGAAAGCAGCCATGATTTCCACCTCTACCTTCCATAGGGAATCCTGAGGATTTTTCTTCCTGCAAACACTTTTTTTTAAGTGCTGAAGAGTAACCTTTCTGAGACAAATGTAAAACAGACCCAGGGCTATCCAAACACCCTTCAGGTGCAAGATCCATGGGAGACCATGAACCTGCATCTGAATTATCACTAGCAAAGATACTGCCCAAAACTCATCTTCACTGGCCTGCTCAGCTGCCTCACAGCACAGCTTACCTTCCAGTCACTAAACCAATGGAAAACTGGGCAGCCAAACCTCCCTCAGTACCCTGGAGTCCACTGATCTAAATGACGTTTTAAATCGACAAAGCTGTCCCGTGTTTTTCTTCCTGAACTTAATTTTTTACTGCTGAGGCTTCTGCCCCAGCAGGTTCAGCAAGGATGCTTCCTCTTGCACTTTCTGGGCTTAAGGAGTGAGGTCTCATTATCAGAGACCAGCAGGACATGCTGGCTGCTATGGCTTTTTGCAGCAATAAGCAGGAGAGAGCAGGGGAGGTCAATTAGCAGCTCCTGGAATGGAAGTGTCCGAAACCTAGAGCTATTATGCCTATTTAGCATCTACTTCAGAAACCCTAGTTAACTACTTTGGCAACTCTACATGAGGATTAGCACTCTGGATCTTTACGTGAGGTTTTGGCCCTTCCATTTTATCTCCAGGTAGACTAGATTAGCTTGTACTTAACCCATAGTGGGAGGTTAAAAAGCTTTGCTTCATAAAATATGTATTCTATTACGATGTTTGCTATCAGTTCCGAAGTAGCAATCAGTGGATTTTTCCCTTCCATTCCTAAGCAGATTTCAGTTATATAGGCATACACACAGGTCCTCCTGTGTACTCAGGAGCCAGCCTAAATTCTTTCCTTCAGGAAACATCACTGCTTCACAAACCCAATAATCACACGTTCTTAAGATCAGGAAGTCACCTTTTACAATCACGGGATCATTTAGGTTGGAAAACACCCTTAAGATCATCAAGTCCAACCATAACCCTGACCCAAGTCCACCGCTAAACCAGGTCCTAA